ATTTAAAAAGGCCACACACTAGCACATACAGTGTATGCATCCACACGTATTCCATTCAGAAATTAATTTGTAGGCTGATTTAAGTAACGGTACAATGTACATGTATCAGTAAGATGGGTGGACTTGCCCAAATGGCCAGAAACATTAACACATGTAATTAACTTTTGACTCCACAATAAAAATTCTTCTGATACTGAATTCACATAAAGCTGGTTTCACTTGACTTTTTTAGGGGAAGTTCATCAAAGGGTTTACATGTACCGGTACGTGTACCGTACTTGATGCTGGCAACTTGGGCTAAAAATTCCATCTAGACACTACAAAAAACAGCATTCATAAAAGAGATAAATACTTGTTAACGAGTAGCACTTTTTCAGACAATTCAAAATTTCCAGAAACCTTGCTTTGATTCATCCAATTTTTAATTGGAACATGCAAATGTTCAAGTGTAAATGGATGGGCCTTCCCCATGGTAAGGAGGACGATTTATTTTGATAGGAAAGTCGGTACCAAGTTGCAGGGACAAAACTTTGTGCCCATGAGATTTTGGGTCCCCATAACATCTATATTCCAGCAAAGAGTCTGCAATATATGTTTTTTCATGCATGCACCACTTTGTGCAATGTCTCAAGCATGAGATGAGATGAATTGAAACATGTGGTCTATGCGCTGGTGTCAGTATAACGGTGGTTGGCATTCTCCCCTCACATACATGAACATAAGCCTATTAACTTTTCAAACTATACAAAATGTATTAACAAAAATTAATTTGATAAGCCCTGAGTATGTAATGTACACGTACAGTACATGTCAACTGAGTTGTATCAAGAGGAGTACCAAGACTTTCCCACATGCATACAGTGTACAAGTAGTGCTGCAGCTGAACAACCTAATTGAACCAAATAACTGAACATGGCACTGTTGAACCGAACCCATCCAAACTAAAGCAAGCTGGTCTGTGCCGATGTTCAACATTAACGACATAGTGCAAGTAGAGTATGGAATGCACATGAGGAAAGCTTCAAAGCAACAGAAACGTAAACAGGTGACAAGTGTAGTGCACTCAGATTGAGTTGAAGTGTTACGTCACTGCATGTATGAGTACAAAATGAAAATTTATCTACTGTGGCCATGCATTGCAGAATGTACATGTACATACATATACACATGTACATGTATATAACAGCCTGAAGTAAGAATTCACTAATGATCAACAGCAAACATGCAATGCACCGTTGCTACATTACAGTGTGTGCTACATTCTGACTCTTCACCATTTCCATGACAATCATTCTGTAGCCATGCCCTTGTGTCTGTATTAGGCCAATGGTGTCATCAAGTGGCCATGCAAAACAAATTTTAATTGGATCGTTATCATCACTTGGTTCTTACGGGAGGAAAACTGCCTATCTTGCAAGCTTACGCAGGTATGCTTTTAGCCCGTCTGGTGACCAGAACATGAGCAACTTTGGTGTGGTTGCCTTTTGTCATAGTCATACATGTAATTGTACTCTATGGTTATTTTACAGCTCCCAAAAAACAAATCACATTTGTCCACCAGAATGGAGACTGATGGAAAGTTGTCCCACTGACATTCATCAGTAATTAACGAACCAATGCATGCCATCCTGGGAAAACATGCTGACTTGGTATCAAGTTTGTTTGTAAAGGTAGTGTACACGATTTGCATGTACTGCCATTTTTCAAACTTGGCCAATTTGGGGGGGTTTGCCATTTACTTTTTGTATCATTCCACAAGCTTGTTTCATTTTTTTAGTTCACTGCTTTGAAAAAAAAATCAAGAAAAACGATATTCATTTTGAACACTCAAAACACAGCTTGTGGATAACAAGACGCTTCCACTGGATAATGCACTAGTGAGGCCAATCTGCAGCTCAACTATGGCCCTCCAAAAGTACTTTTTTTTCATGGCTCCAAGTAGGGCTCGTGATTGGAAAAATTCACCTTAATGTTTGTGTCTTCGTCAAAAATGCAACACTGAAAATTGGCAAATAAACAACGCTTCATCCTAGAGTGAAGTGACTGCAGTCACTGCACAACCACATGCACGATCGACTGGTTCGTTACACGTACATGTCAGTGCGCATCATAAACATTTAAAAATCAAATGTGGCACCCTTGCATTTTGGGCATGGAAGTTATTGTGATTGGAAAAAAGAGGTTATATGTCTCGAAATTACAGATTTTGTTTGAGAAAACAAGGCTTTTACAGAGAAACAACCCATTTGGAAAGAAGCCAAAATATACGGTATACCTGATTAAGAATGTGGAAATGAGCTTTTGTCCTTAAAATATACATGTACGTGTAATAATTAAGGGATTCAAGTTTGGGCAGTAAATTTGATCCTACATTTTGTATAGCACAGGACTCCCATTTGAATATGCTGGCTGATGTCTTGTTTGTTAATGTATTCACATACTGGTATGTGAATAATCACAAATAATCCCAATGCATGACCGCTTATCAAAAAAGTGGTCAGAAAGCGTCACTGTCCGACTGCAATTTTTCTTGAACGTTAACTTCCAATATAAACTTTTGGGTAACAGTTTTGAAAAAAAAAAAGGTTGTATTGGAGTTGCTTGTGGATGGGGATTTATGGAAGTACCAGTACTATGGTGCGCTTGTAGCGATTGCCCTTTGATGTTCCAGTGTGCACTGAACATACAGGTACATGTATGTAAATGTCCCAACATGAAGTGTACCAATGTTTGGCGAAGAATTTGCAAACCACATCCAAACCTTACAGCTGACATGTACATGTACTTGCAGCTCTATATATGTACTAGCAGGATATACATGTACATTGTTTTTGCAAGATTGATTCTTCATATTAGTGCTTTGTCAATATCCTATTATCTTCCTTACTACACATATATGTATGCTTATGTAATTTACAAATACCTGTATTGGTACACGGTACATCAAAGTACTAATTTTTTCGTGCATGATGAAAAAAATTCTGTGGTTTAATTGTAAAGCTTTGCAGTTTAAACTTTGATGTACATGTACATGTAATGCATTCCCTGGAGTAGAAAGAATACTAGTAGAAGAATTAAGAAACTGCTGTGCAGTTCAATGAAACAGGACAGAAAGTACATTTGTTTATGTAGAATACTGTATATGTATTTCAGGGGTATGGTAGAGTTTGGTTCACTGGTTCATTCATGTAAGTCAGGGGTAACATTCAAGGAAAACGAAAAATGACAAAAATTCAAGCGAGGATAAGGGGCCCCACAACATGTCGTGTCTATGGTGTTTGCGTAAAGGCATCCCTCAAAATAAGAATTTATGTTCTATATTAACTTTTATTCTGGTACGTAAAACACCTTAATGGTAAATTCGGGATTCTCCAGATTTTGCAAGAGATTTCCCAAAAATCCTGAAATCAGGGACACTGTGATAAAAAATCCTGCAAAATCTCACCCCAGTACGTACTCAAAACAAACCAGTATCCACCCTCTGTGCTGATTGCTGAACCAAGAAACAAAGAGGAGGGTGAGTCTGAATTGTACCAGTCACTGGTGGGAGGGGAAGAATTTCTGGTGTGATACATCATCTTACAGTATATACAAGGGCTTAAGGTCACTCTCCAGATTTTGAAAATGCTCCAACCTTTACTCATCACATTTGTGTGTATGGACCTGTATGAACAAACAAAGACCCCAGTTCTTGCATACTCCTGTCCATCAATCCAAAAGCAATTTTCAGACTAAGAATAGCTGAAATACATATATGTTTTACAATCCCATTTTAAAATTCAGTATTTTTCAACGAATTTATGGGGTAGTTTCATGTGGTATGGTCTAAAGCACTGAAAATGATTGTGAGGGGTAGGGTCTCAAGTTACCTATTGTACATGTGAATGTACATGTATATTTCTCACAAAGATGAGGTTAGTAGGAAGAGTGATCCCCTTCTGTACAAGACCCTGTATGACGATACTTCATGGATGTTATTTTCAAACTTAAGAAAAAACACTGAATTATATGTTGAAAAGTTTCATCTTCACGCACATGTACCTGAACTACATGCACATGTGTCAGTTTCAAAAACTGTTTTCTATCCATTGTAATGTTCATGGGTCAAAGACAAACCCCATTTGCATCTCTCAGATGCAAAAATTCCATCAAATGTTACAAGCAGGATACCTGTGCATAGCTTAATACATGTACATCTACGTCACAGTGCAGCTGTTCCAATTTCTCCACTATCACTATACAATTCCTCAATCTGTAATCAAAATTGTGTAATCACATTATGTGCACAATACACTTGAAGATGTAATTAACGCTCAGGCCTAATGATTAAGTACAAAAGTACACTGTACATGCACATGTCCAAGAATGTGTGGTGTATGTGAAACAAATTATTACATTACATGTACAAGTACAAGCTTGGTTGAATTGGACAGTGGTACAGGGTGCATGACTGTGGATAGCCAGTACCCACACATGTAAGTACAATACTAATTTGACCAATGCAGGAAGGAAAATATTTTCCCAGATTCAGGAAGGCTCCCAGCAAATGTACTTGGAAGGTTGGGGTTAAGGACAAACCTCTGCTCTTTGTGCTTTGACTCTAGTGCTGTATGGTGCATGTACAGTGCAAACACATGCTATAATGAATACTCCAATGTGCATGTTCAGTATATCAAACAGGGAAGATCATTTGAGAATAAAGCACATGCAAACTGAAGTGTGGCCGAACTGATTAAACAGACAGCACACAATTCTCTTCAGGAATGACCTCAAACATGCTTTTTTTTGGACATGCACTATTGAATATCAAGCTGGCATATTGACAGGAATGATCTTCATCGGCTAAATGAGGTTACACTTCACTAAGCCACTACATGTAAACCTTATCACACCCATCTGCCTCCTCTTACCCCACAACCTACTTCTCAACTTGTATTTTAATTAAATATAAACATTGTCAAAAACAGGGTTGACTGATGCAATGGCCTGCCACTGCTCACCTCCTCATAAAATTCCAACTGTGGTACTGGAACCTCTGAAACATTCTCACAAAAATCCTTGAAGAGTAGAAAACCTGCAGCAATATCACAGATAAAAGTGGATTATTGGTCAATTCAATGACAATATATTTTGAAGCAGTACACCATTTAAACACACTTCCAGTAATTCACTGTTTCAACTCGACCAGATTACCACAAGCCCCATAAAGTAGATATTGACAGTATTATTTTGGCTGATAGGCTTGAATTTGGAAAGAAAAAAAAAAGCAAGACAAATTTTGATTTACTGTAAGTCCCACAAATACTAACTCAGACTCAACACAATCTCATATTTTTAAACACTCCAAGGACCCACAAGGCAATATTCCATACCATCAATATTTAACATCACCATGGGACTAGTGATGTCACAGAATATTCAGGCGCCCTCTAGTGGCAGGTTGAAAAATGAAAACAATACATTTTCAGTTGATATCTGTGGTGAAATTTGCTGTAATCGCTTGAAAATGGGTAGATACTGGTACATGTACATACATATATACATGCATGTACATGTATGCTCTTGAACTGCCCTTCCAATGAAAAAAATTATTGGCACTAACTCTTTTTTTGTTTTTAATTATGGGTTTTTGACCTTACACAGACGTACATGTACCGATATATTCATAGCAATGTGTGTTCAGTGTTGTTCAGGAGCTTGCAAGTACATGTACATATAAGCACGTGAATTACAATAAGTCCATACATATACATGTACCGGTACATGTGGTTGACGGCATTTTCCCACCCACTGGTTTGAGTTTCTTGTTCATAATTTCTGTGAACTCTAGCTGTAGATCAGTACTTGATACCTATACATGTACTTTAACCCTTGGCACCTGTATCTCTGAAGGAACTTTCTACATGTACCCTAATACAAGTACTGTACATGTAGGTGTGTAGATGCTATACTGCATGTACCGGTATTACACCTAGGTACATGTACAGACAGTACTGAAGTTGGTTATTAATTCAGATATGAATTTTAATCACATTATTTGATTGAATTTCTTAATTTAAATCCCAAGTTGTTTAATATGTGATAAGAGAAATAAATACAGGAAAATTCAAACACATTTACAGCTATTTGCTTGCTTTCAACTTGTCTCCCATTAAAAAAAAATTCAAAATCTTATTTTATAAATAAATAAAAATACATAAATTAACTTTTTACCCCCCAAAAATGGCCTATCCTGCAAACAGTAAAACAGGGCAGACCGGCATACAAATTCTAGTGAAAAATACTGTTGGTCTTCAAGTTGCCTAGCAGGCTCGTAAAAAATTATTTAACTGTTTGAAACTATCATTTGTCATATTTGCAACAAACACAAAATTGATTGCACATGTATGTATTATTATTAATTGTAACTTTTTTAATCCTGCACTTTTAAGTTTAAGATTTGACACCCAAACTCCACCGTAACGGCTCAAATAGTGAAATTGAAAAATGCCAGCCAAAGTGAGTTTTGCTAAAAATGTCCAGTGGTGAAAATACCTGTGGTCAGGAAAAAAGGGTACTGTGCCTGGTGGGCTATACATGTACACATAATTACAAAAAGGCTTGGAGGCCTAGAGAATTGTTCTTAAATCTGCATAAAAAACTTACCAAGTTTTTGCTTGAAAATCTTCTCAAAGGTTATTTCATTTCTTTCCTCCAGATATTTGTACATGACACTTCGTATGCTGTCAATGAAAAATGGTACACATTAGTAAAGAAGAGAGGAAGTTACATGTACATACATTGATACATATGTAGAATGTACATGTACATATCCAAGTGTCATTTAGTGTTTTTTATGCTACTTTATGCAGTGTAGATGTACAAATGTACATGTACATTATGTACAGTACCCAAACACATGTATGCATTCATCGTGTTCCTTGAAATAATCTTTTTCTGCTTTCTGTGTTACAGCTTGACTTAAGGAACGAGGACTAGGGGATTCTCCATACAGTAATGTGTACGTACTGACATGTATGCATGTATAAATTCTTGGTGTGGACGAAAGCCATACCGTTAGAAAACTTTACTGTAGGTTTTAAAACTTAATTGAATCATGTTCATTTAATATTAATATTAAATATTTCATGTTCAGCACTTTGTGGTTTTTAAGTTGCTACATGTATACAAGTTTTGATTACTATTATTATTATCAACCCTCTTGAGTAAAGATGCATTCTCGACAAATCTGTCCCATCAGTCATGTTAGTCAAATTAGTCAAAGGACCCCATGTGTCCAGATACTGTAGCAAATCAAGTGGAAGGAATTTCCGACTGCCTGTGACTGTTACAGTGAAAGGAGGGTTTACATACATCACCCAAATTTCGTTCAGTCGGCGGAGATTTGCCCATATACATATGCACTGTACACTACTGGTACTTGTTACTCGGGCATTATCCACACTTTTAAACCATAACTTTTGCCCTGCTGAAAAAACGTCTGTATAATGGTCACGTTGAAACAAACCGTAATTAGACGTATGCGATACTTCTATATGTATTTTGTACACTCACCAGTATCCTACACAATAACAGCATGGGTAACCAAAGATCAATACTACTGCTGTTGTCACTGTAAGTACCCACACATGTACATGTACATGCATACTTGTACAATCTGTATTACGTACCACATGTACATGTACCACTACTGTGCACAAGGCCACTAAAAGACCTGTCCAGTCAAGTACAAGAGACTAACACTACTACATGTAGTTGACAGTTGCACAGCATCCACAACCTCAAGGAATCCTCTAGGTTGTACCGGTAGGCTGTTGCTTAAAGTGGTACATGTACACTGTACAATGTAAATGGCAAGGATTAGTGTAGGCTGGAGCTTGGAGGAGCCAAACAAGGACAAAAAAGCATGTGCCAGTTCCTTTTTATTCTTCAACAGGAACTTTTGACTTTGAATATACCTGTAGTACAAGTAAATATACAGCATGAGTCTCAGCATGGACAAATAAGGGACCCATTCACCAAAATACATGTACATGCATGGTATACATGTACATGAACTGGTATGTACCATAACTTACATTACACGTATGTATGTACCGGTACCGTATGAGAGCTCAGTGCTTTCTGAGAGCTTTTTGAAAAAAAAAACGTAATAGCGGATGGGACTAACCCCACAATGTCCTGCTTAGTTCTAAACTCCCAAGCTTGCTCGGGTCACCTGGATGGCTTGAATCCAATGAAACAGGATGTGCTATGTACAGGTACATGTACTGTAAATGACTTTGATGGAGTTTTTTCTGAGGGAAGGAGTGTTTGATTTCCGCTGTATTGCATCGCATTTTGTGATGCAATATCGACCAAATGCTATGTACCTTCTAAAATAAATCGCACAGTGTGTAATGCGAAATGCAAAGGGCTTCATGCTGTTATATGCTTGAAACAACGATTCGATTAACACATACAGCAGGCATATTATCCTTTGAAATTTACACATATACAGAAATCTAGCCTGCAATGAGTTGACTTCATTGGTTCCCACACAACTCATGTTCACTTGAGATAGCTAAAGTTGGGAACCAGTAATGCTCAGGCTTTTTGCATGAGTGGAGCAGCATGGGCTGCGGAGGCACGGTGTGCATGCAGCATGTACTGTACGTGTACATGATGAGAACACACGGTCATGTTTCACAGTTAGACATTGCATTAAGTTTAACTTCTGAATGTGTCAAATGGAAGTTGAAAGTGATACAGATGTAAAATTCATTAACAGAAGAGTGAAAAACAAGTTCAACTTACACTGGCTAGAAAAAAACAAGTGATTGATGTTTTGTTTTTTACTAAGGCTAAGTTTGTAAGAAGATTATGTTCTTATTTTTGGAAGTAATTCTAGTCCTTACAATCCCTAATCAGTCAAACTTCAACACCAGTAAGGTGTTTGAATTTGTGGAATCAGGTACTAGGAACTTGCTATATGGTGATTTTTACTAAATAGGTGATGTCGGCCGGCACTTACCTGTACCCTACTGAATTTTGACTGAATGGGCACTGTGGCCCTCTCACTTTTTACAATCACTTTTTACAATCAGGAATTTTAAATGAGTACTGTAGTTTTAAAGTTTATGTAATGATAGAAAGGTTTCCCATTGAAACGGTATGTTATGCGTAATATTATGTTATTATACTTACGAAACCACAGACTGGGTACTGCCTAGGTACTGCCTGTTCATACTCTCTGTATTGTGCAGTAGGCCTGCTGTACCCAATGATCAAACAAAATCACAGAGGTAAAGACCTGTTGGAGTTTGTGTGATTGGGCACTCTTGCAGCAAGAGACCTGTTGGAGTTTGTGTGATTGGGCACTCTTGCAGCAAGAGACCTGTTGGAGTTTGTGTGATTGGGCATTCTTACAGCAAGAGACCTGTTGGAGTTTGTGTGATTGGGCACTCTTGCAGCAAGAGACCTGTTGGAGTCTTTGGTATTGGGTAATGTAAGGTTGGAGTTTGATTTCAAGGTGTTGGGAGTTGTGTGATTAGGGAAGGATACCACTAACAGTGCTTGGGCAGTTGGGGTAAAAGAGTTCATTTGGACTTCAGAAAACATCGAAAAATCAAGCTAAAATAAAAATTTCATTGGGAGTTTGTCGCAGGTCAAGATTTTGGAAAAATTGAGATTTTTGAATCGGAATGTTGGAGGTTTCTAATTTCACTTATAATGAAATTCAAGTCAAACATATTGCTCTGGCAAGGCACTAGAGGCAAAAAATCAGAGCGCACTACATTAGGGTACATGAACATATCCTTCTGCTTGTGAACCATACCCAGCCACACAAGAAAGCCAACACAAGTGTTCACACTTTTGAAAGCAAAGTAAAGGCCAGATTCTTTCAACAGTGCAATTTACATGTACATGTAGTTCATTAGAAAAAAGGGGAAAGATACTCGGGTGTTTTTAGCCGTTGATGTTCATCATGAACAGGCGTTTTAGGCAGATCCTGTGTGCAGGTATTTTCAGGTACTTCAAACCTACTTTAAAAATTTTTCATCCCTAAGATGAGAACCCAATTGCGCAAACAATTATTTGAAAGACCATTGTTGAAAACTTTCTTTGTTTTGTTTTCTTTTATAAGGATATTCAGTGATTTCATGCAGTTACACGGTGAAAAAAAATGCTACACACCATCAGGCAATTGTTATGCAAACAAAATGCTGCATAGCACTGCAGTTTTTGCTATGCAAATATTTTGAGGAAATCAAACAAAGGAGAGAAGGTTCCTGGTAGTTACAGTGCACTCAATCATCTTCACCACAACAGATCACAATTTGTGTAGAAAGAAAACATGAGAATGCCAGAGTGAATGTACTGATTGTTCCTGTCACAAGAATTCATAGGCATGTACACAAAGCTGCCAGCTTTGGAAGTGACCAATCAGGGAGATATTTTTGGGACGAAGGGGATGATTGTGCATGAAAAGCACAAAGCAATATGGCGTGGAGTTTTAGAGAATTTTGCTGTCAAGATGTTCTATGGTGCCATCTGAGGCATTCCTTGGCCACATTCCTCTTACTATATGTACATGTATGCAATGTTAATGCACCAATAGCTGTCAAGATTGTAAGTTAAAACTAACTAGTTCCTCCAAGGATTCTTTTTCACTTGTGGGGCAGTTTCTTTTCATGGTCAAACCACACGTTAAGCCACTTTAAAAATTGACTACTGAAACTTCCTAGTACATTTTTTATAAAATTTTTACTGTTTTTATAGTTAACATAATATGATGCAGATGCTATTCGTAAGTTATGCTCCACTTAAAAGTCAGTGAAGTACATGTATGTCTCTGCTCTGACACTTTCATCATCATCCATTGATCTGAAGTATTCACCAATGCCATTTGTGGCAGATCGTCACAAATGGCATTGGTTTCTCAGATGGATGGCAGATGTTTCTTGGACCCAATGTGTTGCAAAACCTCTTGCAAACACCACCACTAGTCACTGATACTGTATATTACTACTTCATACAAGACATAATACATAACATTTATAGTACTTGATTTCCATGCACATGACCATTCTACATATGCCGTATGTTATACTCCTTCCTGTAATCCTGAAGATACTTTTTCACTTTCATTGGGTCTGTTGTCGTGATTTTTTCATAACATACATACCAGTACGTCCGCAATATTGACAATGTCGTTCTGCGGCATGTGTGACAACCGTGTGGTATCCATCTGAGAAGTATGATGTCTGCAGTAAGGGTGGCAACAATTCATTGGTGACAGACTGATCACTGGTAAACATTCAAGCGTGGTACCCATGTGTGTGTGTGTGTGGTAAACACAACATCCGTGACTGTACATGTACATTTACATACATGCATGTACATTGTACAAGTATATTTTATGCACATAATTTTTAGTATAAGGAAAGTGAAGACATCAACGACAAATTATTTCTATGCTAAATTTTATTAAAACTCTTATTATGACTAAGACATTTAACAAAAATACAAGTTAACAAAAATGTAAAATGCAAACAAAAAATGACAATTCAGGAGATTTTTCAGATGTGCCACGAGTCGTAAGATCAACCAATTTTCCGGAAGTCTTCTGCAAAATTCAGTACTAAGTGCACACAAGAGGGCAGGAAGCAAGTAAAGGCGCATGGTCTCGATATGTATCCAAAACATACCGGTAAATGAAGACATCACAGAGATCCCGACT